GAGATAGGTCTATTAGGCAATCTACTGACCTGTCAAAAACGAAATTCGCTGCAATTTTTTATTTTTTTTTGAAAATCGTTTATTGACAACAAGTATACAATTTATAAATTATCTTAATAGCTCTATACCTAAAACAGTGTGGAATACTGTTATCAAGGTAACAAATTTTTTAAAAAATTACAGTGATGTAGTGGAAGTTACAGTTCAATGACCTACAATCCGACAAATACAATCATTATTTATTGATTGATTATGATTAATTGAAAGAAAGGATCTAACAGAGGCTCGATTTTCTCTTAATAATAATACCTGTTAATCACTCTCCATCTCAGAATTTATTATTAAATTAAAAAATACGTAGAAACATAATAAACAGTATAAAATTCACTTTGTAAACAAGGGCCAGAACACTTAAAAATACGTAGACATACTAAAAACTATAAAATTCACTATGAAAACAACAATGACCAAAACCAAAACCAATGAAAAATACGTAGAAACACATAAAATTCACTTCGAAAGCAACAAGGGCCGAACATAAATGCTCTATAGTCTGGCAAGTGGTAACTTGGTAGAGACGAAAGGGGGAAGAAAACTGGGGCGTTACCCAAAAATATTCACTGACACCTCAACTGACACCGTCTGATGACAGCCATGTCTTTGAGTTCAGTGGCACCGAAAACACCAAGGAAATAAACCAATAAAATTATTAGAAAAAGATTCTCTAGTTTCGCCAATAACCACGCCACTGCGTGCTGTCGTTCAGGCTCTAACCAATAGCATCATGTTTCTGAATAATCACGCCTCTCCACTTCCATCATTTCGCAATGTTGCCTGATTTTTTTCTATTTCAAAATACTACACATGCCTAAAATGCAAAAATAAAAATATGCCACCAACTTGTTTATTATTTTGTTTCTAATTTACGTCAAGTTTGGCAAAGCAGCAAATTCTTTTGGAGTTCGCCGTTTCGCTAGCCAGACAATACTTATGAACGTCACCGGCTTGTCATCGCAATATTTGACCCATGATTTGACCTGAACGGCCATATAAAATCACGTGATTGAGATTGCCTAATCTGATGCTCATATCCTCATTTTTATTGAGAGTTTTTGAGATATTTTGCTCAAAAGTGAAGATTTTAGCGTTCAATGTTGCGAAAACGCTTTGGAATTTTTGGCGTGATTGTTTGCCCTTAATCGCTCCATCCTTATCTTCCCTCTCATTCTAGAGTCAATGTAGAGCAAATTGGGCTGGTCCAAACCTTTTAGTATGTCATTGGCTGTAGGTCAAAAAGGAGCTGCAGAAAAAATGCTGGAAATCAGCAATAAAAAATTAAGACCTCTTGATATCGGCATATTGTCGCAAATTAGCCAACAGCAGAAAAATAATTCTCCGCCTAGGGTTACAACTTTCCTATGGCTTGCCTAGTCTAAACAGTTCCAGTTGTATAAATGGTGAGATTTTGGAAGTTGACGTAGTACGAATGGGAGGACAACAGGATTACATCTAGGAGAGTGGGAATGAGTATGTGTATGAGGGGCGAGTTTTCCGCTACTATTATTGCAGACTATGCTTGAAATGTGTTAAGTCTGCCCTAATTTTATGATTGTCCTTATCAGTCCTATTTATTATTTCTTTCTCAAATTTTAAGATTTAGAAGTTACATATTTTTGTCCCATATTTAATCCCATTATTGATTTTAGCAAGTAAGAAATTTATTGAAACTCATGATTATCTTTATTATTTAAATTCATTATCCAATTATCTATTTTATTATATTTATTATTTTTCGCTTTGCTCATTTTATAGAAATAAATTTGTTGAAAGATTATCTAGTTTCTTTTGAATTAATGGTTATCAGAAGTTTTGAGCAAAGAAATCAAGGAAGATCTTGGTAAGAAAATATAAAAGTATATTTTCACTTTGGGATCGGATTTCTAACAAAAGTCCGACCCGACATTGCATAATATTGCAATCCAAGTTCCTAAAGTAGATAGAGGAACAATGAACCCCAAAAATATATTAGGAACTCCAATGAAACGATATAAACAAATATTTTATCTTTCCTATTAGGATCTGTACTGTAGTGAGTATCACGAATGGAATTGGTACCATACACAGCTTGTTAAATCGATGGTTTTCAAGGGATGAAATCACTGACTGCCAAAGTAATGAAATAATTAATATTCCACAAGAAGAAACAATTTCCCTAAGAGAAGCTCTAAGAGAGTTTTCAAAATTCGGAGGACAGGGATTTTAAAATTGTTCTTGCAAGCCAAGCAAAGTACAGTGTGATAACAATAAATGTTTATGTTTTAAATTTCATATGAAATGTACTAGCAAATGTCAAAAAAGCGGATCATACTTGCTTTGAAGGCTAGCTTTCTTATTATTTATGCTAGAGGGCCGAAATTTGGAAAAAAATATTTTAACTTCGGTAATTTAAACATCTCTCTAGTATTAAGAATAAGAAAGTTAGCGTCTACAGCACAATATATCGGCCAAAAGACACAGTGAAATTTTTATCAATACAATTCGCCTGCTGCACCATCAGTCGTATTATATTACCACGGATTTCATCTTGTCGGATTCTAATGCAGGTTCATTTTAAGAATAGGACTAATACGCAGCAGGCGTATTATAATACGACTAAAATTACTAGTCTAATTGCGAAATTTCTTAAGTTTGTGGGTAGTATTACAATATACCTAGTCGTATTGAAAAAGCCTAAGCGTATTATAATATGCGACATTTACACAAACCGAATATTGTAACAGCTAGAAGATGAAAATATCAATATTCATTTTTCCGCAGATAACATGGCTTCGTGATAAGTGGAAGCGACTGTGAAGCAAAGAGAGCATTTCAAAAAAAAATTGCTTTGGTGGTTTGAAAAATTGAAAATTTGTGTGACGTCTTGTGACACTTTGTTACTTTAATGTCTTCTCTTTTGTTTGATCAAGGATCCGACTTCTATACCCAATACCAAAGATAATCCTACTTTGAATAGATGGCCAATGGCAATGGAAAGCAAATTGTTTGCTTCAACGCTGACAAATGCCACTACCAGGTTTATTTTAATATCGATTAAGGCTTGTTTCCGAAAATAATTTCGTCTCTTGACGCGTTTAAACGGAGTTCGGAGTAGGATTGTCTTCGCCAATACCCAAGGCCGTGCCCAAAGCCATAGTGTTAATAATAATAACTTAAAAATTTCAATAGGATAAATTATATTTAAATTAAATTCTTCTTACTGATACTGATGAACTAAGTAGTGTGATATGCAGTAAACTATTGCGACCTAAATAAATAACTCAATTTATTTTAGATGTCATAGTTCAAGAACTGAGAGGTGGACAATATATTCTTGGATCAGGCAAACTCTGAAGTTACACGCTTCGATAGGTATCCCATTTTATCCGCAGTCAAAGTAGGTCAGCTATAAAGTATTAATGTATGCGTAATAGAGGCAGCTTTATTATTGTCTTCCTTGAAAAGAACAAAAGAAGAATGTGGTTCAAGGACACGATATATACTCCACTTCAGTTGCTCTATACAGGGTGTTTCAGAGATAGTGTTACCAACTTTAAGGGCGGGTATATGTGATATAACTCATCAGAATAAGGAAAAAAGTTCCTATAGATATGGGTCCGGAAATGTTTCGTTTCCGAGGTATCGGAGCTAGAAATTCAAAAAAATAAAAGGCTTTTTTGTATTATGTTTCTCAATTTCTAAGATAAATAGCTCAAATTTCGTACAGAGCGTTGGTCTACTTTGGGGGGTGACACCACCCAAAACCGAAATTTGCCTTAACGAAAAATTCTATTATATATGAGAGCATAAAGATCTTCAACAAGCTGCCAGACGAAATAAAGGGTGTGGAGGACTATGGACAATTTAGAAAAACTTTAAAGAGATTTCTGGAAACCAAAGCCTATTACAGTCTTGGGGAATTCTACTCAGACTAATCTTTTAATCTTTTACTGTGATCTTTAAACTGTGATTCTTAAACTGTGATATTTTCAATTTTTCAATTACTAAATTATTTATTTTTAATAGGCTTTAACTGATTCATGTAGTGTTTGACTTTATTTATAGTGATGATTGTTTTTTAGAAATTTTGCTACCATCCCGCGCTAACTCGTCGGTTCTGTGTTGGATTTGCTTAGGTATCTGGACGCTATCAAATCTAGCCCATGATAATGTTCTTTTATTTATGTATTGTAAACTGTTCAGGTGTTGTTGATTGTATATAGAATTCTCACTGTTATTTTATTGCTTGTCTTTCTAGTTTTTTGTCTTATTTTTACTCTCAACACTGACATCTAAATTTTAACTTAGTATACATTCTTAGGATATAGGAAATTAATTTTAGACTTTTTTTTTTTTGCTTTGTCAATGGAATTTGCATAATTTTTGGGACAATAAAGCTTTTTTGATTTGATTTGATTTGATTTGAACCACCTTAAATTTTTTATCAGCACGTTTTTAATTATTATTTTTTTTAGCCACTACCTTCTCCGTTTCATTGCAAAGGTTTTTGGTATCCTGCAATTTTTTCGAATCTCAAATATTTTTGGCGGTGTTTTCCAAAAAAGACAAAACACGCCTTTATTTATAGTGAAGTATATGGCCATTTTTGAAAAACAACAAAAGATATACGCTCTGTATGAAATTTCCGAAGAAATTTCAGCTATTTATCTTAAAAATTAAGAAATATAAGGCAAAAAAAAACTGTTGGTGTTGTAATTTCTGGATCCAATGCCTCGGAAGCGAAAAGTTTCTGTAACTCGGAAACGAAACCATTCCGGACCAATATTCAGAGGAACTTTTTTTCTTATTTTGATGAGTTATATCCGCCCTTAAAGTTTGTTACACTATTTCTGAAACACCCTGTATTTGAAACATTGTTAATATAGAGAATATTAGAGATTGTGTTTTTCAGAGAATGCTTGTATCAAAAACTAGAATAACTTATTAATAGGTGCTTCACTGACCTTCTGAAACGCTGTAATCGAAGTGTTGTTGTTGTGGGGGTCCATTGGTCAGCGAGTATGGTACACGACGTGAGCCTGAATGGCTCGACATTACAGAGGAAGACACCGATGTGGGAGAGTTTGGAGAACCTGTATGCAAAGGACTACTTGAAGCTGACGTGTTGCTATGCGATGAACTGCTGCCGTTGGACATTGCATGGCCCAGCTTGTGGAGCTCAGAAATCGGAGCGTTGTACGTCCACACAATTCTGCAAAAAGATAATGATGTGATTGCTGGTACAGCTAAAATTATTTTATCAATTATCTACCCATTTTTTGTAAACTTATTCAATGACAAAAATAAATAATAGCTTCTCTGCCATTCCTGAACCAAACACTCCAAAGAGCATCTCAGTAATCAATACTAAGTACACTTTTGCACCATCAATCATTAAAAGTGACCAGTTTTAAAAAGCGTTTTTAAGTTTAAAGAGGATGTTGCATACGGCTAATAATCGTTTAATATTATAAGGAACATAGATATAAGGAACGTTGAACCTTATACATCTACTTGTATACAAATTACAAAGTCAAAACAAAAATAAAAATAAACAAATTAACTATAGTGAAATTATTTACATAGTGTATGCACGTGATCAATAACGTCGAAATTATTGCCAATTGCAGTGTGTAAGAAATTAAAATTCGTTTTAAGCTGAGAGCTCATTCTCCTTTTTATTTAACTTTAGTTAAAAAAAGACAGAACACTGTTGGCATTTAAACGAATCGGCCGATAAAATGACATTTAGGTTGGCACTCATGGCTTATGTTGCCAAATATTGCTGCGGTTACTGATTTTAATAATTTGAAACTATTTCTATTTGTGTATCTATAAAATGCCAAAGTCATTGAATAGTCAGAGTCAGAAACTCGTTGCGTCTCTAATTAGTTTCTTTGAACAGGAACGAGATAATGGGGGCCCCTTTTTGCCATTAAATAGCGTTAGAGAGGTGAAGTAAATTGATACTATCAAATATAAATCTTCTGGGGCTTTAATTGGGAATATTTTTTCAGCGTGTTGCAGCTGCACTGAATATTGGTATAACCACTGTGAGTAAAATCCAATGTAAAATCTCTCAAAAAGTTAGGGATAATTTAGCGTTAAATTCACCAAAGAAAAAACGTCCACATAAGAAACGGGTTACGAATCAAGATCACCTTGATGTTAGCTCTATTCGCAATCAAATTTACGACAAAAAGTGAGTAGTTATTAAAGATTGTATTCATAATACAATACACATCTATACATATAAAAATCGATGTTTGTTTGCTTTAGTGATAACAAATTTTACTAGACATGGTATGTCAAATTAAAACGAAAGTTAATAGCGGCAACATTACGACGTGCTTATGTCATTAATTTTGATCACGTGCATACACTGTTTAATTAATTTCACTATATAAACAATGATTATGAATTAGGTGTTCAGAAAATTCTTTAGTTTTTTGATTTTTTTTGCGTAATCTCTTTATTTGGTTGGCACAATGGGTTGGCATAATCAATAAGGCTGAAGACACAATGACAAATACAAGCGTACAAGTGACAGATACAAAATACCAAAAAATCGAAATTTTGTATCGCGGCGTGGCAAGTAAATTGTATTGTATACAGAGTGTCCCACGAGGTTTTACCCAGTTGATAATTTCGTAACGCATCATCGTATGTTCCACAAGTGACATTAATGATTTTAAACTTGCCGCCCGTTGACCGAAACTGAAGCGAAAGTCGTGAAATTGGATGACACATGTAGAAGCAGCACAAAAAGTTACCTATATCCTCAAAATTTCAATTACATTGGATGATGCGTTCCGAAATTATCACCTGGGAAAAACGTCCTGGGACACTCTGTATACATATAAATGGATACAGTCCATTTATTCTGGGTTATAGCATTGATACACGTGTTATTATATTTTTGTCTCTTGTCACTTATACCTTGTATTTGTCATTGTATCTTCTGTCTAAGGGTGATGTCGGTGATGACCTCAGCCTTGAAAAATAGACAACCAGATAAACAGATATAATATTTTTTCATTTTGAAAAAAACGCAAAATATCTGAAAACTTAGATATTGGTATTGTAGATAATCGAACAAAGAATGTTTAGGCCAAATTTGAGCCAATTCTGATGTGCCGTTTTTTTACTACCATAAAATAGATTTTGAAAAATTAACCAATTAGAACACATCATTTTCAAAACATGCATTTCATTGAAGCTTCCTTAAATCAGGCATTCATGTAATAGTTGTTTAATTTATACAGGATGAACCAATTTTCCTGTGCGTGTTTGTACCTACCAAGTATTAAATGAAAAACCCTGTATAATTTTAGTGTTTCTGTTAAATTTTACTTCCTGATTTTAAATATTCATTATATAGTTCGTTAGGTCTATCTTATTGGATTTTTTACAATGTTATTCTAATAATATTTTCTGTTCAGTACATGAGGCCATGTTTCATATGCTATTTTTATAGTGAGTAGCTAATTTATAACCATAATAACCCTGTACAACCGGGCCTTAGTGAATTTATAAACGGATTATCTTTTGCTAAACTCAGTACTTAGTGCAGTGACTTATCAAGGTGAACTGAGTGCAGTGACCTCGTCATTTTCATTCTCCACAATACCCAGAGATCCAGAGAAATAAACTGGATGTTTCCTCCACTTTTCCTAAATCAGCTTTCATGTAGGAACATTATTGTCACACAACCAAAACGCTTGATGATGAATGTTCCGCTCATTGCTAAATTTTTTCAAAATCAAATTGTAACTAAGTAAGTAACCACTCAGGTTCAATTTTATGTCCCCTTTCCAAAAAAAAAAACAAACTTTCGAACCAAAACAAATTTGAATTTAAACTTCTAGTCAACTACACTAGCGCAGAGAATTATGAATAATTTAAACTTTCAACTGTAGTCATCTAGCCAAGGTTGAACAATTTCACTTGTGGAGGTTTATACAGTTCGGAAAATTCCAAGATGTTTTTCTAAGAACCAGTTTGGAGTTACTTAATTTGATTTAGGATAATTATTATAGGAATGATTTTAGTTTAAAATAATTCAATTTTATTTCAGTTTCCAAGCCCAAGTATTATCTTTGAAAATAAATATTTATACTGACCTGTCACTATCACTATTAGCTGAATCGGGCCGCGTGTCCAATAAGGTATTCAAGGAGCTAGCGACATCTTCGTCAGCTTCTGAGTTAGCTGTGCTCACAGCTCCACCTAAATTGTTTTGCATTTGAAGTTGATCTTCGCTCCTACTTGTTCTAACAAAATTGTTGGCTGCATATGGATCTTGGGGAGAGTGCTACATAAGAAATAATGATAAATAATAAAAGAGAGAGTGTGCAATAAAATAGTAAACAAAATAAATCACAGGTGTTCTAATAGTTATTTACATTACAAGTGCGTTTATGAACATGATTACAATAACGAGTGTGAAAGATTAGAACGACGAGGTCGTAGATCGAGTCGTTCTATCACACGTTTTTTGTAATTATGTTCAAACGCATGTGTGATGTACAACGTTTTATCTACAAAGCGAAATAAGGAAATGTTTTTTCAATTTTCGTTTATTAGTAGTTGTCTACCTTCATTTTACCTTTACAGGTTTAACTATGACGTTTGTCAAATCACAAAAACTAATGGCGTTTCCGATTGATAGATTCAGTGCGCACTGAGTGTACGTATAGATTCATAACCTAGTCCATAACACCACTAGTTGTGTCATGACATAACTCAAATACTAAAAAAATGGTTATGTAAAAACGTCATGACGAAACGTTGGTAGATAATAGTTATTTATGTATCAAGGGAATTATGATGGTGTTAATACCCCAGGGCAAAGTTTGCCAATTGCCCGTGGGTATTAACACCTGATAATTCCCGTGGTACATAGATAATTTTATTTCCTACTGAATTTACTGTATTCTATCCATTTTTATGAAGGAATAAACCATAAACCAAAATTTCTATTTTTTGTCAAAATTTCACCTATTTAAGGTAAAAGCGGGAGTTATGGAAATCCTTAACTCCCTTGGGAGTTAAGGCCCTGTTTATGATTATCGTAACCAAGGTATTATATGGTTATAATAGTTCAGTAGGAAATAAAAATTGTAAAAATACTATCAGGAGAATGGTTCACAAAATCTGAATGTTTTAATCCAAAATTCAACAGTGAAAATTTGATTTTAATCAGTACAGAATTCAGTTCAACCTAAACCGAATTTTCGCGACGAATGTAGTTCATCCAAGGACGAACCATAGTTCGTCTGTGACGTCATGAGTTTGAACGCTGGCTAGAAGCTGCGTCCATGCTTCCGTCGAACTACGTTCAAATAACGTCACGAGTTTCTCGCCAAAGCGTTTGTGTTCATGGAATCATGGAAGTAGCTCGTCGCGAAAATTCGGTTCAAGTCATTCATGCAAGAAGGAATATTACTGATTCTTTACTAATTTTTTTCTTCATTATTTCAGAAGTGATTTTTATTGGTTCTCTATTTGTAATAAGGTATCTAAACGACATCTCTGGGGTTCACATAGTGAATACGAGCTCGTCACCCCGGAGTGGGAGAAGAGCTTTTCTTCGACCGAGGCAGTTCCAGCTCTCCCTTCCATTCTGGTCTTGTAAATCCGATTCGCATTGTCTGGACCTGGAGCGCGACTTTCGATTTTCAGCACTCTATCCTTTCCTCTCCTTTATTTTCATCCTTCTTTTTCATTTTTCATCCTCACTGACTTTGATTACAAATGATGATGGACATCCTTCGTGCAAATAATTCCGGGATTGAAATACCCTTCCATTTGGATCTCCGGGAGGAGGGTTTACGAGTGGAGTCTATATCAAGTTTAATAATCGAATTCTCTAACAGCAGAGGTATTAATGCCACATTAAACTCCGTATACCCTAATTTTGAGGACAAAAATCTAAATAATATGCTGGTCTGTATGGAGACGCAAGTAAAATCTTCTGTCAACCCAACCCATTTCCTATGACCCGGCTATGAACTTCATATGCGAATTCGCTTTAAGCGGGTCATTTCTCGCAGTAAGCTCTCTTGCAACAGAGAGGATGATTTCGAATCACCTGATTACCATATAATTTGACTAAAATTACTTCTACCACATAGGTAAGTTCGTTTGCTGCGTGTATCTTTGACCCAGCGACTCCAGTTGTGAACTTCCATTTGAAAATCTGGCAAATTCATTTGATCCAGGATCCAGGAGACCCATCCGAAATCCGAGATTACATTCTTGAGTAATTTCAATGTTCGTAGCTCAGAGTGGCTGAAGTTCTCGAAACTTACTCGATTGGTTCCTTACCACTAATCCGAATCCTTACAAGATCAATGTGTTTTGCATTTTCGGGCAAATTAGACCACAAATTGAATTCCGCTCCAATACCTCGTAGGGTTTAGCGTGGCATTATAGAACTGCAGTCGCTGCAGACTGGGAAGGTCCAAAACTCTTTTTTCCTACCTTTCCTTGGTACGATATTTGCTTTCAATCCAAAGATCCCTCCGAGGCTGCACAAGATGGTGCCAAAAATTATTGCAACCGTATAACCAACGAGGCTTAGGAGTTACACAAGCCAAATGTGCGTAATCGACTTTTGAACTGCCCAAGCGGATCCAGACAATTTTGGTACGTTGCCAAAACGTTGAGAAAAAAATTCACATCTTCCTTCTTTCCATCTTTAGTCAAGGACAATAATTCCATTGTATTAGCGTCAAAGCAAAAAGCAGATCTCTTCGCCCAACAATAGACCTATCTGGTATGCGCGCGGAACACGAGGCAATGCCTTTTTATTGGCTAACTAGTACAGGTTATGGTATTCGTTTTGCACGCTGAGAATCTCCTTGTACATTGCTCGTGGTCTGACAAGAATAAAAGTACGGTTGATATGCAACTTGACATTGCTTGACAAGTGACATTAAAAAGTTGTTTAAAATTTTCATTGACAAATACGTTGCACAACACGCGGTCTTTCTCCTTTCCTTTTCATCCCTTGCAAGTAAAAAGAACAGATTGTCATACGTAAGTCTAACCTAATTTGGTACGTTTTGCCTCGTCTTGCGCAATGAGCGTTCTGCGTCTTTTTTAATCTAATGAAACTTTCGTATTATTACCTCTTTTTCTGATAAAATAGATAGGTCTATTGGCATCCAATTTCACGATCGAGGAAAATGGCGGAGCCCCACAGGTACTGCCATACTGCCACACATAGGTTCTTACATGATTAACGTTGTATTCAGACCGATTCAGACCCAACAAACACTATAAGAAAATTTCTTCTGCAACTTGACACTGGGAAATCTTGGGGTTCTGAAGGCATTCCACCGATGGGGTAGTATACAAGTGATTTTTAACTACTACGTAGTGACATACTCGACGTATCGTACTATTTAGTGTAATCAGTTGCTTTGTAAAAACCGCAATAGGGCATGTCCATGTGACGTCACAAATGAGTTTGACAGTCGCCCTGAGGTAAAACAAATCATTTATTTACATTCCCGTAGATTAGGCCGGTTATGTTTTATGCAGTTTGCACAGCTTTTTTTACAAGTTTTAGTGTTATTTTGTTTAAAAAAAGTTAGAGCGGAGTGTTTGTGTTCCAGTCTATGTGGTTTTTTATCTAAAAGTTTGCTAGGTTTTCCTATAATGGATTAAATTCAGGTTTTTTCCAACAAATATCAAAACCAAGTGTCACAAGAACAAATATATAAGTATAGTTACTCTATATTCAATCTATTTTTCTGTCAGATCTTCTCTTTTAACAACATTAATCACTTTTTCTCTTCTTTCTTGAACTAACAAATCAAATATCCCATTTTTATTTAAAATTGATGGAAACCTATGGAAGGATATTGTATCCCTTGCGCTATACTGCCACAATTAACAACTAAACAAACTCTAGGCATGTCCAAGAAACTTCTGGAGCACACAAAAGGTATTTATTTAAAAAAATCTAACTAAAAACTTGAAAAGCACTGTAAATTATATCTTTGTTTTACCTCAAGGCGACTGTCAATAGTGTCAAACTGTCAGATCGTGTACTTGCCCTATAGCCTGGATTTTTTTTTAAATTTCCTCTTAGCCCCGCCCCTACGTGAAAATAAAAGTTCGTGACGTAGTTAGTTTTTCCAATCTGGAAACTCATGACGGTTTTAAGAACGCACAATTTGCACTGACATTAACCGTCAAGAACGAAACGTCAAATCTACTACATTAAAGAACGTAAACAAGTTACTGTGACAATGTCACATGTCACACGACACCACGCGTCGTTGAACTGTTGAAGTCAGCTGTCATTTTGAGGCATTTTGAGCAGCGTTGCCAGATGGTCAGCGGCTTCAATACTATTGGTCGCCGCTGTGGCGCTAAGTTCAAATTACAGTTTGTTTTTCTCTGACTAATTCTATAGACACTATGCTGGAAAATAATTTAGTATCCCATTATACCATCACCATTTAGCCTATAGAATAATGTCGAGCAGTTTTTTTACTGATTTTTGTACATACTATACTACCCCATTGTCTTCAAAAATTGTGCACAAGAATTGGCTTCAGTTCTTTGCAAACTTTTTTCACTCTCTTACAGTCGAAGCGCTTTCCCGTTTATCTGAAAATGTGTCAGAGTGCAGCCCATCCCGAAAAAAGGTCGAGAAAACTCTTCCTAGCAATTATCGTCCTATCTCCCTTACATCCGTACTTTCGAAAGTAATGGGAAAGGCAGACAACCTGAAACGGATTAAATACCTCGAAGCCAATAAGCTCATTTCTGAAAACAGTACGGATTTAGTTCTAGAAGATCAACAAGGGATCTGCTGGCGTACGTCAGTCATATTTGGAAGTCGTCTCTGGAAAATCATGGCGAATGGCCCCAAATGTCACAAGAAACTTCATATACAGGGTGCGTCCGAAGTAAGTGCGCATTTTGTTATGATAGATACAGTGGCTAAATAAACCTTTACATACAGTGGCGACAATAGAGGTCCCGCCGCCATCTTGTTCCCAACCTTTTGTTACTTTTAAATTTTAATATATAGAATTTAAATGGACATCTATCATAAAAAATTGAAATCGACGTATTTGATGACCATTATTAGGTTCATCAAATACGTTGTTTTCCATTATTTATGATGGATGTTCACCTAAATCCCATATATTCATATTTAAAAGTAGAAAGAGGTTGGGAACAAGATGGCGGCGTTTTCAATATAAATATATGGGATTTTAGAACCAATCAAAAATAGGACAGCAATTGTCGCCACTGTGGTAATAGAGTCACTGTAATGATAGATAGAGTACAGTAGGACAATCACTTTTTGCATAGGTATATGTGTCCGCAAACGTCTCGGTAAGAAAATACCTCGGAAAATACAGAGTGTTGATATTTTCGGAAGATTTTCACTTTTTGTTTTTAGATTTAAAATGCCTTGAGGGATGTTGTTCGAATTTTCAGAGAGTGTTTGCGATGTTCATCTCAATCATCTTTCTAAAAGATCCGTTTGAGTTCCACTTTTCCAGGACCGAACCTAGAGCGACCCTCATTTTTTTTAAAGAAAAAATAAATAATAATAATAATTATATTAATAATAAATACTTTATTTCAAATCATATAAAAATAAACATTTCCTGTACTTGGTACATGAAAACATACACATAAAAAGAAATGGCGTCAACAAAAGAATCCCAAAACAAGAAAAAATAAAGAAAGGAAAAGGGCATACAACCTGTCTATAACTGTTCAAAATAATCACCCATACAGTAAGGTTCCAAATTATTTAAAAATGCTTTTGTTTTGGTCTTAAACAATTTGCAGCACTTTATACTTTTGATATCATTAGGCAAATTATTTAATAACCACACATGTAACTCGGAAAGTCCCTGAATAGGGTAATTTACATTATGTCTTCCAGTATTCTGTTGATGCCCAATCTCGTTTTCAAAAAGAATTCTATTATGGAAGAAAAACATCAAACATTCATAGATGTATAGTCCATAAACAGTTAGAATGCCGAAAGATTTCAATAAATCCCATTTTTCTAATTGTTCTCAAGACTCTCTTCTGTATTACAAAAACCTTTTGTATAACGCTGTTAGTACCCCAAAACATTATGCCATACCTCAAAATGGATTCAAGCATAATAAATCATTCTTATGCCGGTTTTCCACCAAACGGACTGTTGAGTTTTTGTTTTAAAACATGTTTTAAAACAAAAACAAAACTGAACAGACTCGAGTCTGTGTTTGAGTTTCATATTTACCGCTTCCGGACGGGACCCGAAAAACAAAACTCCAACTGTCGCAAAACACGCTAGTCTTGAAAATGTTTGGGAAAAGTTGGAGTTTTGTCTGAGTTTAAGTTGTGTTTTTGTTTTGTCGGTTTGGTGGAAAACCGGCATTAGACTGCTCCCGTTCATGTACCATCGTCACCAAAAGTAACTGGGACAGCATCACATTAGCTCTAGTCCTATTATATGAATTTTATGTCAAATATTTGTCAAAATATGAATTGACCTTTTGTTTGGACGCCATATTGCGGTGCGCGAACATAGTTGCCAAAAGAAAAAAAAAATGACTAGCGGGCTGTCAACTTAAAAAAAAAAAGTAACTATACATGATTGATCGTCGCTATCCTTTTTGTTTGTTTACTTTCTCTCTCTGATTCTATTAGCCTATCCAAAACACGTGACTTTGACAAGCAAACAAATGGTTTGTGTGCCTCTTGGCGGACATTTCTCTGCGTTTTTATTCTCCTCAAATTTCACCGATGGATTCACCATTTTATGTCGGTCATTGTCATTTTCCATTCACTAAACAAAGATAGCTAACTCATAAGTCACCTATTAGAATAAAAACGAAAGGAAAAATTTAAGTTTGACAGCACCTTGACTAGTCAGCCTATCCAAAACTGTCACAATGACAAACAAACAAGTTTGGATTAGATTTTCTCATTTATCATTTCAACTGCCACTTCCCAGTCTTGCCACTGTTAATATGTTCGAGGAGGTGGCGAGTGAGGAGACCCTTTTGCACAATAAAACATCCAGGGCCTTTACTTCAAAGTATTTGAGGAGTTACAGTGGTGGTCATACTTGTACAATATGCAAAAAATCATCAAAATCGAAGAATAATGTGATTACAAAATTGTTTTCTGTAAAAACATGCGAAGAAGGTTCTCTTCGAAAACAGTTTTTCTGCGAACAACACAAGCCAGAAAGTAAGTAAAGTGTGTTTTTTTTAGATAAAAGTCAAAATGACATTATGTTGGCAATACAATGTAAAATTGTCAATGCTTTCAATTTTTTTATGTAGAAAAGGCTTGTGTTGCCAACATAGTTACTAAATTTTTGACTTGGGGAATTATCTTTAAAAAAAAAACGCACTTTACTCATGAAGTTACTTTTTTTTTTAAGTTGACAGCCCGCTTGTAATTTTTGTTTTCATCGTTTGGCAACAACGTTCGCGCACCGCAATATGGCGTCCAAACAAAAGGTCAATTGAATGCATTGAAATGAATGACAGTAGAATTAGTCCAGGAGAATATAATGCATTATTTGTGTCCCAGATACTTTTGGTGACGATGGTACCTTCTCACAATCCTAATTCTATAGAAAATCGACTTGAGTTTTTACATTGACCGCTGTATATGTGCAGTCCAGTCCAAAAACTCGTCCAAATCAATTCCTAAAAAAGTTGTGTCTGTCACTAATTCAATCTCTGTTTCTCCAATATTCACTTTTATAATGTTGGTACGCCCCTAGGTTTTTCGAAAAATGAAAAATTATTTTTTGATTCCTTGTTTAATTAAAAAAAAAGGTATCGCGAGTTTCTCTTGTTCGATGCGACGTTTACGAGATAAAAAAGAAAAATCAATGTATTGTTTGGAAAATCTCGTTGTTCGATACACTCCACTCTGTTAAAAAAATAAGAGTCGCTCTAGGTCCGGTCCTGAAAAAGTGGAACTCGGATTTTTTAGGAAGATGCTTGAAAACATCGCAAACACCTGGACACATGTACCATCGTCACCAAAAGTAACTGGGACAGCATCACATTAGCTCTTGTCCTATTATATGAATTTTATTGTCAAATATTTGTCAAACTATGCATTAATAGTATATTGTGTATTTAGGTGGAAAAGTGACACATTCTCGGCCGACGGTGTTAGTTGACGGACGAGGCGTAGCCGAGGCCGGCAAACACCGAAGGCCGAGAATGTGCTTTTGTATATCAGGTGCATATGTACAAATAAAAATATTTCTGAGTTTCATTCTGAGTTTTAATTACCTAATACCCATATTTTATTTATATTTTTTCTTTTTAATGTTCCACAAAATATCCAAAAGACGTTTTAAAAATATATTTGGATATTTTAAAAATGTTTTTAAAACATTCTCAAAAATATCATACAGATAGAAACATTTTCAATAGGTACATAGTTTTTGAATCCGCATTTTTTTTTTTTCGATGATGATGTTCAAAAAACATTTTCATACTTTCTAAAAATATTCCTAATACATTTGAAAAATATCTCAAGAATATTCAAAAAATATCGATTCGTTACCGCAGAATGTTCAAAAAATGTCCTAAAAATATGTTTTATGGATATTTGTATGTTTTAAAAATATACTTGATCCGAAAAAAAATATTTTTTGAAGCTTCAAAAAATATTATTTGGCTATATGGGTAGTAGCTTCATGGCATCTTTGCCTTCTGAAACCGCTTACGGCAGTCACTTCCACACGCCTAGCCCCAAAACATATCCACTCTAACAACAGTGATCTTGACACCGTTACCAACTGATACCAACCAATGATAACCCAGTTTAAAGGATGTCGTTACAAAACCTACCTATCAAATATCAATCCCTCAGTATCGTCTCTCTTCTTGGAATGACCGCATCTACCAACTTGTCTTAGCATGACCATGTGTCTTTGATAGCCAAAATTGCTTTTCAATGATGTTTTTTGTTTCGTTCGAAAAATTTATTTGCTTCTGAACAACTTCTTCTCCTCTATAGGGCTCAAATTAGACCACGTATGGAATACTGTTCCAAAATCTGGAGCGATGCTTCCAAGCATTTGTTGCCTTTATCAGATGCAGTATAAATAGGGGCTATAAAAACGATCGATAATAATCCAACTTTCACAGATTCATTGCTATCTCTCGAACATAGACGCAAGGTGGCCGACTTGTCGTTAATCTATCAGTATTACCGTGGGAGATGTTCTCATTCCAACTGAGAGAAGTTTTAAGAACCGGCAGAACCTCACAGGCATCCCATTCGTATGTGGTAAAATTGGCTACCCCAAGGACCTCTAAATATAGGGCTTCTTTTTGGTGATGTACTGTTCACCTCTGAAACTCCCTGCCTCCTACTTCATTTCCTGAATGATTTAACCTCAACGTTTTCAAACGGAGGGTTAATCGTCACTAAATTTCTCAGACATTGTCTTTTGTGAACGGACCAATGTAAAGAAAAAAAAAATCACCACCAGTTTTTCAATTTAAAACAATAAAACAACAACAATAAATTAAAATTATTATCAGTTATACTTAGTTGTAATTATATGTCTAAACGATACGGAGCTTATGGTTTTTACTGACGCCACACCAGTGACAGAAAGACGAGAAGGATAGGTTCAAAATATCCGAAATTCATTTTTTTTTTCTGGCAATGGATTCTAAAAATTTATGTGAAGCTCAACAACTGTACTTGTAACATAAATAGTAAATTTTACGTGAAATTTCCATTTTACAGATGTTTCATTTTCACCCCACCTCACATTAACTAAAATTTGGTTGCTTTGTAGAAGTAAACTACCAACAACAATTTATTTGAAAACAAATAATCTTATGTAGAAGTGAACCAAGCTAATTTAGACCAGTTTGTTAACATGCTTCAATAATGATACAGTTAATAATAATAATGATAATAATAATAAAATAATGTTGCTTTAGAATTTGAATATAGTAATAAACCAGGTAGCCCAAATAAGCTGTAACCGAGGATGTAACTTATCTCTACATAAAATAATCTTGGTTGACAAAACTGCATAACCACAAATAATAATAATTTTACTTGTATCAGAGGATGATCCTTGCGAGTGCCTCCTACAGGTGAAGTATGCGCCGAGTTGGGTCCAGAAGATCGACCCCCTCGGCTCAAGTCTGTCTCGTTAGGACTATTTGGCACTGAGTTGTGTTCCTTTGGCTGATGCCTCAAATGATGCGCGTGACTGTTGTGGTATCTCGAATGGTCCGCCTAATATAGAAGAATATCAGATCACTAGAGATAAATAGACTCATTAATATAATGTGGCATGTAGTGCAATTGTTTCTGGGTCATTTGGCACGAAAGACATCTTAAAAGGGTATGTACTCGATTTTGCATTAAAATAGGAAGAAAAAAATGTTTACCTTAATACATTTTAGGAAATGACAAGTGATCATTATTCAATTTTTTTTTCTGGACAGTACTACTAAAATATCTGGAATATGACTTGTCAATCAGAAGATGAAAGCGGCGTAGATACATTTTTTCATTACTTACTATAGGTATACTACGTTGCGTTGTCCAAGTCGTATAGCGCTGTGAGATAAGTACCAAGCCGATAAGAGATATGATATGATATTACCAAAGATAATAATTAAATAATTGACTGAAATTTTAATTAATCATATATTATATCCCAAGACCTTTAAATTTAATCGATTAAACTATCCAACATATACTTGGAAAATAGTTCAATGCAAAATAACTTAATTAAAACCCGAAACCCCTCGAGGGTTTTTGTTCGAAAGTTATTGTACATGAAACTATGACAAAAATCATTATCATGCAAAAAATATTTGGATAGTTTAATCCATTTACATTTGACCGTTTGACTTTGCATATTTTCCTAACAACATGAGATAATTTCGAGTAGATGGTACTCGTTCGACGCATAATTTTATGTTCTTTAATTTATAGAGCAATTCTAGAAATGCATTGTTCAGGAGTTATTAGTGAAAAACTGAGAAGTCAGCAAATTTCCAGGTTTTTACACCCCGTATACAAAGAGCATAAGCAGAAAATGTGTTGCAAACTTTAAAAAACCCATTCTACACGTAAATGAAAAGATTAAAACCATTTCCAGCTTTCCGAGAATTAATTCGCCTACGAACCGTATGTCGCTTGGCCTATTATTTATTAAAAAAAAAATTATTAAAAAAATGGCGTTGTTTCATTGGGGATTGGGGAATGAGGGAAATAATCATATATTATATCACAAGACCTTCAAATTTAATCGATTAAACTATGCAACATATTTTGAGCATGATTTTGCTTGGAAAATAGTTGAATGCAAATAAAAGCTCTCGACCGCTTCGCGGTCTCGAGCTTTTATTAAGTTATTGTGCATGAAACTATTTGCCAAAAAGCAAAGTTGTGCGAAAAATATTTGGATAGTTTAATCCATTTAAATTTATAGGTCGAGTGGTATACGGCTAGATTATTTCCTGAATAATTATTAGGATTGAAGCCACAAACAAAAAGTTCTATTCTTTATTATAAAATGTCATAATATTTCTATGTGATTTCTATCAAAATTCTGTCAAAAAAGGTAAACAAAAATTTAATCGCTGATAAACAGGTCTTGTGAAATAATCACTTATTTAAACAAAATTTATTCAAAAAATGACGTTGTCTGATTGGTCTATTTTATAATGAATGAAATAATCATAATAAATACAGTGTCTCCGAAATCTGCTAATTTAATTTCAGAACATTGATAACCCGCATGGTAGGTACACATCGTTAAATTTTAGAACAATTTTGTTTTTCTTTTTTTTTAAGATAAAACTCAAAATGACATTATGTTGGCAATACAACTTAAAACTGTCAATGCTTTCAAATTTTTTATGTAGAAAAGGCTTGTGTTGTCAGTCAACATAGTTACTAAATTTTAGACTTGGGGAATCTTTAAAAAAAAAAAACAGACTTTAGCATTGTTTTTTAAAAAAAAAATCCTAGATCTTACGGTGCTTTTTGAACTCCATTGTCTTGAATTTACAAGCCAATTTTAGTTAAGCAGGTGTCCTATTGCCATTATGAATAAATTTCAATTTATAATTCAGATCGTCCTTATGCTACCCGAAAACTTTTAGAGGATATTTTTAATGAAGACGCAAATTTCATCAATCATGACTAGAAAAAAAGATTACCTTTTTTTGTTGTTTCGGAACTATAGTGGTCGTCTGTGGCATCCTAGAAATATTGAGTATATGTTCTCCGGTCATCATGTAGGCCTCAAATTTGGGAGCGCCCATTTTGAGCGGCGCCGGCTCGCCCTGGAGACGTTCGTGTTCCAAGAGCAACGGCTCGTGTTCCGCTGGCGGCAAACGACCGTTGGTGGCGGCCAAGTGCCGCCCATGGTGATGTGGCCGGTGCACTGCCGGCTCGGGCCTAGCCTTACCGCTTCCGACGAGGGAACGCTCTTGAGAGATATGGTCGCCGCCAGTAGTCGACGATTGGAGAAGGTGCTTACGGACTGTTGATTTAATCTTCGGATCTGGGGAAATTTTGATGATCTAATTAAAGAAAATACTGAAATAAAGTGGCCGAAATTGTTTTTATTCAACACATAATTGATTGGCGTTGTCGTCTAGAGGATAGCGTTCCTGCCTCGTGTCATACAGGGTGCCAGCCCGGGTTCAAACTCTATGCTCGTCGCATATTCACAGATGCTAGCGTGTGTTGACTTTTTTACACTATATTTACAGATGCTAACGGCTGTTGACACCGATTTCAAATAACTACCTGTGCGGTAAAAAATAGCGTGTACCATGACCGCGAAACTTTTTAGCATCCTTCAGATTATCTTTACGTATGCTAAAAAGGCTTTTCGCGGCCTTGATATAAAAATAACTATTGTTTTTTTTTTTTAAACTAAATGGTAACTTATACGAGGACTAGACGCACTAGGCGGACAGGTTAGTTTGGGTAAGTCTGTATTTTTTTGATTGGCTATCAATGAACATTAAAAAATAAGAAATTTGAAACAACAAACGAAAGCTTAACTATCAAAAGTTGATATTGAACTATCAAACCTGCAACGCGGCATGCCGCATTTAAAACCAATGTCAACGCCTATCTGCATTTGTAAATATATACTCACTACAAAAGCTTACTGTTTGCAACACTTTGTTGTCCAAGTCTGTTTGTATTTGTAAATGTAGGTATTGTTTTTCCAAAACCTCAGATTTCAACACCCTGGTGTCAACACACGCTAACAACTGTAAATATGCGGCCGGTCAACGTCGATGTTAATATTTGGAATTTGGTATTAGCAAGAGCGCCATCTTTCGGAAAGCGATGTAAAACTGTTGGTCCCGTGTATCAGTGATGTGATGCACGAAAAATAAAATATACCTATATCGACATAAATTTCCAGATGGGGTGAGACAAATACTCTGGCATCGGTGATTGGCCTTGGTCGCGGAAATATGCCGAGCAAAAATAAAAAGAATGAAGGAGAAAAAGAAAATACACAAAATTGATTAGATGGGTTGGTTTTTTGCCGTTCAAAAAGAACTTGATGTTTTCTGAAATTGAACAGGCTCAATCAATCACCATCAATTGAATAGCTATTTATGCAACAAGTGTATAAGACAAATACTTCACGCACGTGATTTATCAGAAAAAAACTAAATTGACAGTGTCGACATGTGTCATTTACATTATTCTAGGCACTAGTGTGTAAAGTGAGTTACTTTAGGCACTATTGCGTGAAGTGAAATTTTACGTCTTTTGAATAGTGCGTAAAGTGAGTACTTTACGCAAGGTAGTAGAAAACAGCTATTTATGCAACAAATCTGTAAAGTGAACCTTTTTTTACGAATGTGAATTTTGACGCACGAGCTAAAGGCGAGTGCGACGCTCACATGAGTAAAAAAAAGTACTTTACACACGTGTTGCATACGAAATTCTTTCTACTACCAATAAAATATTTGTGAAACAATAAATTTAGACAAACCCTTCACTCACTAGTGCGTAAAGTATTTTCACTTTACGCACTAGTGCGTGAAATAATTCACCAGAAAAGTACTAAATGGACAGTGTCAACATCTATAAATGACATTACTTTACGCACTAGTGCGTGAAGTGAAATTTTACGTCTTCTGAATAGTGCGTAAAGAGAGTACCTTGGTGAGAACTTTACGCAAGGTGGTGGAAAAAAAAAAGTTATTTAATTTTTTTAATAATAAAAAAATCAAGCAGACATGCCAAAATGTCATTTACTGTTTTGACGTTTTTACCTGACCTGTTCTCATTGTTGCCAGCAAAGGTAAATAAATTAGAGTGGAGAAAATCTGTGAGGGAAAACGAATAGGGAAATCGGTGAGGGAAGTATCCTAGGTAATGTGACACTTCCACATTTTTAAAAAGTCCGTAATGTCAAGATTACATATTATATGGTTGCAAATTACCGTTATTGTATCTGACTGACATTTCATTTCCCTGGTTCATTATGTAGAACAGATCTTGGGTTATGGGAAAAGGAAACAAAGACCACTTATTTTCTGGCGACGTTCCGTATATTACATATATTTTTTCAAGCCCTGGAAGGCACATGAAGTTGACTAATATTTGAGTCTTTCATAAACACTTATATAAGAGCCATGAATATTTTTTATTCTCATTTTTTATTTTTGCCTTGTTTTATTTTAATGACTTAGTATTGTTGATGTCTACAATATTTTGTTTGTTGTCTCCAGGGCTTGAAAAAATATATGTAACATGAATGAAAATACTTAAGTGGTCTTTGTCTCCTTTTCCCATAACCTTAGATCTTTTCTACATTATTGTATCTTTGATGTATTGTAATAAGTTTTAAATATACGGGATTCTTTCCTTCTATATGAGTTTCAAATAACCGGTCTTCAATAAAAAGTAAATCAAAGCTGGCTATGATTTTTTAAACGTATGTCTTAGCAATCTTTCCCTATTTAGTCTAAGAGCTAGCGGTTCATCCGACTAACCCGTTTTCCACAAAGCTAGAATTTTTTTAAATAATGTTTTAGTATCGTTCGATTAAGAAAGCACCGTTCTGGCAGGCATCTCGTGGTTGCGTCAGCATCCCTCAAATTTTTGAAAATGTGATTTTTTTTTTCAAAAAAAAAACTCACACCCACAAGGCTACAATTTTTATATGTTTTAATTTACATATTTTTAAGCGTAAAAAAAAAATGACAAACCATTTTGAGGGTTGCAAGTACGTGCCAGAAGATGGCAAAATTGTTATAGAGATAATAATTCATAATCTTCTCCCACAAGGCTGAAATTTTGAGCAAATATTCTTTTATTGATTAAACAAGTATAGGTAAACAGCCAACCTATTCTGGCGGTTGCAAGTGTCTGCCAGAAGAGTATACAGTGTGTCCAAGGTTAAGGATGGGATAGCATTAGGATCTATAGAATGGTTGATGATTGGAGTTACAATGTTGGTTAGATTAGGAAAAAGTTGCGCAATTTAACGATCAATAAAATGGTACTTTGACTTTTGAAAAATTCTGAACACTTTCGGAGATATCCGGAAAAAACCGAAATTTTTGAAAAAAAAAAGTACCATTTTATTGATCGTTAAATTGCGCAACTTTTTCCTAATCTAACCAACTTTGTAACTCCAATCATTAACCATTCTATAGATCCTAATGCTATCCCATCCTTACCTTGGACACACTGTATACTCTTCTGGCAAACACTTGCAACCGCCAGAATAGGTTGGCTATTTACATATACTTGTTTAATCAATAAAAGAATATTTCCCCAAAATTTCAGCCTTGTGGGAGAAGGTTATGAATTATCATCCCTATAACAACTTTGCCATCTTCTGGCAGGTACTTGCAACCCTTAAAATAGGTTGTCAATTTTTTTTAACGCTTAAACATATGTAAATTAAAACATATAAAAATTGTAGCCTTGTGGGAGTAGATTTTTTTTGAAAAAAAAAATTACATTTCCAAAAGCTTGAGGGATGATGACGCAACCACGAGATGCCTGCCAGAACGGCACTTTCTTGATCGACCAATACTAAAACATTATTTAAAAAATGTCTAGCCTTGTGGGAAACGGGTTAGTCGGATGAACCGCTGGCTCTCCTATTAATAATTTCATGTAAAGTCATGATCGATTTGTCGTTTGACTGATGTCATAAATAAAAACAAATATCACAAAACAATGACACTCGGTATGAATATTAACGCAAATATTTTCTCAAAATCATGTGACAAGTTCCACTAGGTACATTAATTTGTTGCCGTAACCGAGAAATTGAAATTTTGATTGATGTTTTTGGATTGTCCTACTTTATGTTCCTCACCCGTTCAATGACTTCCGGAGTTTGCTTTGATGGCCCTCCGCTTACCTCCTTTTTTTTATACTCTCGATTTCCCGAAACAACCCCATGTAGTACCTAAGTTACTGCGTCATAAAATTGCTCGAACGTTACTCGATTGCGATTAGGAAAAAGTTCCAAAAACTCGGTCTAAGCATCGGCTATAGAGTATACTGAATACTTGTCCATTTCCTGTAGTAGATTTCCACTATGCCTTTAACGTATCCTTTTCAAGTGGTAACTATTCCAAGAAATAAGAATGATTTTTATCTTGATTGTGGTGCCAGCAAGCACATGTCCCCTAATGAAAATCGGTTGTATAATAAGAAAAAACCAAACATAGAGGAAATTACTTTTGCTATTTTGCTAACCAACCATGAAAAAAACTAGCAGTGAAATGTTTGGGTGACATGGATATTATTAGTAGTGTGAATGAAGAGCACAATAATAATATAAGTGCTTACGATGTGTTGTGCGTGCCTAATCTCACAGCAAATCTCTTGTCAATAAGTGAGCCTATTTCAAAGGGAAATCGCATATCATTGTACCAGGATGGTTGTTTGATATAGAGTAAGAGAACTCTGGCAAAGGCACACATAAACAGTCAATACCGCAATAAAATAGAGCACTGTGTAAATGGTTGGGAGCTGAAAAGAGTTGCCACAATTGACAAGTCAAACTGTGTTGTGTGTTGTGAAGGCAAACCAACAGGCTGCCTTTCCCAAGCACATGTATACGAATTAATCAAATACTCGAATTCATTCGTGGAGATGTAGGTAGACCTATGGAGATAATTTCAATTGGTTGCTCGAAGTACTTTCTACTTCTTGTTGATGGCTTTTCAAGAATGTCCTTTGTATATTTTCCAAACGCGAAAAGTGAATATGAGTATTTCAACGAATTTTTAAAGCCATCACGGCAGGAGCATGAAAGTTTTTCGCAGTGACCAAGGTGATGACTTGTGTAGTTATAAATTTGATTGAGTCTTTTCAGGGGGCAGAAAGCTAGAAGGTATTGTACATCAGAATACAAATGCTTACACCCCTGAGCAAAATCGTCTTGCAGGAAGACAAAAACACAGGGCGGAGGCTTTCAATACGTCTGGTTATTTGAGAAATAGATGTATCGCCATTGGCCTAAGTGGAAAAACTCCTTTTGAGTTGTGGATTGGTAAG